TAAGGAATATGTCGTGGGGATCATATCCTTATATAGGGCTCGAGAGAGCAAGTGAGATCATGGATGATGTAAACATACCTGAAGTCACGGGTGACACGTCTGCCAGCACATTTTATCTCCTGCAAGATATTCTACAGTAAAAGTATATCGAGAGAACCACTCTTGGCAACGTATTAGTCGGCCTAATTTGTTATCTCTTGCGATTTTTGTTCGGTGAAAATAAGTAAAATTTTTATTATCTATACGGACCAAGAATTTTACCGGTGTTAAATATACATAGAATTTTGTAATAACTCTTTTTACAGCGAGTAATTCTTTTTCATTGCTATGATAGTTTTTCTCGGCTGCTTTGAAACTGCCAGAGGTGTACCTGCAAATTTGCTCTTCGTTTTTGGAATTTTTGGCCTTTAAAACTCCTCCCCAAAATTCATCAGAAGCATCAGTCTCAATAATTAAACTATCTTCAATGTTCGGGAGATAAAGTTTTGGAAAATTGATTAAAATTTTCTATATCTTTTTGATGTAATCTGTATCAGTATTTGACCAATTCCAAATGACATCTTTTTTTAATTTTGCCTGTAAGGGCTTTCTCATGGCTGCAAGTTTTTCAATATATGTTTCAGCATAAGTTAAAACACCAAGAAATCTTTGCAGTTGTTTTTTGTCTTCTAAAACATTTGGAAAATCATGTAAATGTTCAAGAATATGTTTTTGAGGACAATGAGTGTCTTCATTTATTTCTAAACCCAAAAAATTGATTTTTTTTTGAAAAGATGAGCTTTCTTTTGTGAAAGTATTATTCCGTATTTCAAAATGGTTCTGAGAACTTGGGTAACATGAACATAGTGTTCTTGTTCATTTTTGCTGAAGACCATGATGTCATCAATGTATACAGTACAAAAACTTTCAACACCTCGAAGGGCGTTCTGCATGTGTCTTTGAAAAATACTAGGAGCTTGTTTAAGCCCAAAGGGTAGTACCTTCCATTGAAAGAGCCCATCATGACATGTAAAAGCAGTGAGTAGCTGCGATTCTTCATCAAGTAGGACATGCCAGAAACCAGATTTGCAGTCGAAACTTGAATAAATATTTTTTCCCCGTAGTAGAGTTAAGAGCTCATGCATATTGGGGAGATTATGGGAATCTCCAATGGTTGCATCATTGATTGCCTTGTAGTTGACAACCATGCATTTCTTTCCTCTTCTTTTCTCTGCTTCTTTGTTAACTAGAAAAGCAGGGACATATGAGGAGATTTTGATTCTTTGATTAATCTCATATCAAGTAATTCTTTGATTTGTTTGGAGAATTCTTCTCTATCTTGTGGAGAATAAACCATAGGCTTTTCTCTGACAATTGTTTTAGGATTAATGAGCTTGATTGAGGCCTTCATCCATCCTTTGGTTTTTTCTGGATCAATAGGATTTTCAGAACAAACTTTTTCAAGAAGATCTTCTATCTGTTTGAAAATGGTGGTTTGGACAGAAACAATCATTTCTCCAATAATTCCTTCTTGGGTTATATTGGTACCCGAAATTTGTTTTTCTTTAGTACCCTTTTTCTGGGTTTCAAGAAAACCTGGTTTTCCTTTACTAAAAGCTTCAGTAACCTTTTTTACAATTACCATATCGTTGTTAAGATGAAAGGCAATTCTGTCTATCCATTGTATAAATGGTCCATAGACTTGGCAGAAGTTGTTGCCAATTACAACATCAATTCCTGAGTCTTGTTGATAAATAGTAGGAACGTTGAAATGTTCACCTGAAAGCTCGAGATTAATGTTTCTGCAAACTTTATTAATTTTTATAGTGTCACCATTTGCAATAGTAGCGAGAATTTCTTTGGGAGCATTTTCCCATAGTTCGTCTGGAATGATGAACTTGCTTGCAAGACATAAAGATGCACCTGTGTCTACAAAACAGTGTACTCTAAATTTCTTATATCCTTTGAAGTTAAGGAAAGCAGAGACATAAATAGAGTTTGGATTAGTGAGATTCATGAGGGAATCATTACTTTTCTGGAGGTTTGCGCAAAAATGGTTAACCTCTCCCGTCTTAAAAGGTGGAATCTATTTAAGGCTAATCTGAGTCATCAGTAGTTGTTTCATCTTCTTCTGTGAGGATGACGAGTTAGTATCAACATGTAAAACGAAAACACGTTGTATACCGTCGTATTCTTCTTCAAGAGCTTCATAGCCTCCGTTATTAGCAGCTTGTAATACCTTAACCTTGTCAGGGTACTTTTTCCTATTAGGACATTCATTAGCGTAGTGTCCTTCTTCGTTGCAGATCCAACACCTATCTTTTTTCTTTCCTTGTGGGCAGGAAGTATTCTTTTTAGGTGTTTCTTTCAAAGATTTTTTGAAGTATTTTCCTGGAGAAAATCTTCTCTTTTTCTTCTTCCAAAAAGATTTGTATTTCTTTTTGTTTTTATCTTTATACTTCTTTTTAGTATAAGTTTTTCTTCCGATATCAAAATCTTTGAAATCAGACAGAATGTTACAACAATCCTTGCGTATAGTTTTAAGCTTTTGTTGTTTATACCTGTCTTGACATATTCTGTCAATTTCTTCTTTTGCAATTTTTGTTGCATAAGAAAGACTGGTTTGCTGAATTTCTCCAATGGCTTCTTTTTTCCATCTTTCAGTACAGATTTCTCCAATGATTGGTATTTTCATAAGATAAGCAAATACCCATTGTGAATATTCACTTCTCTGTGGAATATCATAAAGATATGATTCATATCTACATGTATATTTGTCAAGGAGACAAATATCATGTAACTGGAGTTTTGTCATTGAGACTCTTGCTATGTCGACTTTCTTATATTTTAGTGAAGTCTTTATTGGAGACATAATCTAGTCCTAAGAAGGTAGTGTAAATGACATTTATAAGATTATCAAAAAGATCTAATCCATGTAATTCTTCATTCCAATTATTATTTCTAAAGAATTTTTGCACAATTCCATCAGTATTGTGTTATAAAAGTAGGAGAACATTTTTTGCATTTCCAAATTCATCTGGGTTTGTTTGTAAGATTAATGAAATCTCAGTAACCCATTTTTCTATAACTCTTTCTCTGAGTTTTAAGTCTTGGATACAATCAATATTGAGGACATTGATTGTATTGGGTCCTTTACCACTATTTGGAATACCATTGTGCACAGGCATTTTGAACTCATACTTCTTTTTCTTCTTTCTCTCGCCTCTGTTTGTGGCCATACATGAAGATTCTGCTTCCATTTCTTCGTTGCTATCTGAATATTCGAACTTGACAGCGTTTATGTTAGGATTGTCTTCCTGTTCTGATTCGGTATCAGGTTCGTTTACTTTAGCTATTTTAAAGTATTGATCAAAAAGTTGTGGTTCTTTTTGATATAGTTCTTCGCATTCTTCAGTTTCCAAGGATAGAAGCTGAATGAGTTTTTGGTCAGGTTTATCATAGTCTTCATACTGAAGATTAAAGAAATATTTCTCGAGCTGCTCCGAGACTTTTTCTGTCATTGTTTCTCCTTTCTAAAGATATCAATCTTCTGGGAGTCTTTTGAGCTACCTAAGTCTGGGTTTCCAATACTAGGATTAGGAGGTGAGTATTTCTTAAGACCTGAGTATTTTCCAGGTTTGGTTTTTTGCTCTACAATGGAAATATTCTTGATGTGTTCAAGAATGTCTTTATTACAAGGGCAAGAATCAATCTTTTCAGATAACTCTTTAGTAATGTCTGCAATAATTTTTGCAGATGCAACTTCTAACTGGTTAGTGGTTACGTATTTATTGACTGTTAAGTCAAGGTTTATGATCAGCCCAGCTATTTTTTTTCAAGGAGGTTGATCGATCTATTGAGCTCGGTTAAGCTCATCCTATCAGTTGTTTTAAATAGTCTTGTATATTAGTGATCTTAAGGTTGGTTTCCTTAAGAGTGCCTTCAATATTTGCCCTTCTGGCAACTTCTTCCATAAACTGATTAATTTTTAAAGAGTTTTCTTGGAGGATAGAATGTTTATCAATAGATTGGGTTAATTTAATAGTCAACCTATTTTGTTTTTCGATTGTTTCGAATAATTTTTCAAAATCTTTTTTGTCAAATCATTTTTAAGGAAAGCTAAATCACTTTTAAATTGGTTAAAAGGTATTTTATTTTTTGAAATATTTTAGAAATATCTTTGAAACACCAAGGTAATGGCTTATTTTGAAGTCTTTAAAAGACATCTTGCAATGATCTGGTTGAGATTATTGCAATGATTTACAATTGTTTGAATACCAGCTTTTCCAGAAGTAGAGAAAACGTATTCTTTCTTTTTTCAGTATTGTCGTCAAGAATATTAATTTTGACTGTTTTACCTTTTTTATAAAAATGAGGAAAATCTATTTTATTACTCATTTATAATCTCAGTGATTTGTTTGATATTCTGACGTAGACTATCAATTTTTAAAGACATGTTTCTTATTAAGTTACTATCTTTTCTTTCTAAGCTTTCTCCTATGTGAAGTGAATCCATAGAAATTCTTGGTCTAAGAGTTTCTCCTAGAGCTTTTTTGTTTCTGGCTATGTTTAAAACCCAAGAGTTTTCTTGAGGATTTATGTCGCAGAATTGCTTATCTTTGACATGGCCGATTTCTGAAAAGACGTCGTCAAGTTCGATATACTCGTCTTTCTTGTAGTCTATGCTATGGTGACTATTGGTCAGGGCATATCCTATGAGATAGGTTATTGTAAATGGTTTATCACCTGGACTCATAAGGTCACTTCCCTCAAAGTGATGTATGAAAGATAAGGTTTTATCTATATTAAAGATTTTAAATCCAGAGCGAACTTTGGATAGACTGAAAACATAAACTTTTGGTAAGCAAGGTTTCCTTTGGCCGCACCTAAGATGCACTCCTGTCGGTCAGTGATTCTGTTGTCAATTAAGGCCATTTTTATGGGAGAATTTATTTCTGCTTGGTATTTGGGATTTTATCAAAAATTGTACAGCCCCGATATGGACCATTCTTATTTTTGATCTAATCTCAACTGGAATACTTTTCAAGTTATTGTTTATTTGCTCCTTACTTAAAAGGGGTAGAAAAATAGCTCATATTGTGTCTTTTATGTCTATAGACATTTCTTTAGTACTAACAAAGTAGAAATTTTCATTTTTCCTTTTGAGAGGGTTTAAAATACTAAGTTTAGAAGGAACATTTTTTGAAAATGTTTTCTTTCTTTATTTTTAAATCTGTTTTCTTAACTCGAGAGAGAAGGTCTTGTTTTATTAAGAGGTTTGCATGAAATCCGTCTTCATCCTCAACATAAGTTAAGATTTGTTTTTCTTCTGAATTATTTTCTTCAGAATTGTTGAAAATTTCTTTATTCATTTTAAGAAATGTTAACAAGTTAAAATCCTGTTTCTGAGTTCTGAAACTGAGTTTAAAGCTCTATCAAGGTGTTCTTGATGTATTTTTTGCCTGTGAAGGAGATACTTACGTATCATAACCATGGTTGGTATATATTCGTGAGTATGTTTATTTTGTGCTTATAGAATTCTAAAATTTATATGCACTAAATCTTTCTTATTATTGAAAATTATTTCTTTATGATGAGAAATTTCAACCTCTTTCCTTTATATTCCTTCAAACACTTCACTGTAAAGTGTTTTATTATAATGTAATGCCATTTTTAACAAGGCTCTGATACCAGTTTGGGTGTGCGGGATTTTTTATATAAACCTTGACTTAACAGTCAATAAATACGTAACCACTAACCAGTTAGCTGGGCAAAGCCTTGAATAGTTTTATTATAATGTAATGCAAATACGTAACCACTAACCAGTTAGAAGTTTGCTCTACACATACCAGTTAACAAGGCTCTGATACCTGTTTGGGTGTGCGGGATTTTTTATATAATTTTTTGAAGAAGAAGGGAATAGATGCAAAAATTGTAAAGAGAAAACTCATTAAATCAATAAGTGTTTTGGAGTAGGAGTATTACTTACATAGATAGAAACTATTCAAGCCAGCCTGTGTCATCCTTTGGTCTGTGTGGTTGCTTTCCCTGTTGGCCTCATGCATGTGGTACTGTTGACCATCGTCGACCTGACACTCTGTCACTTACAGGTTTCATGACTCTATTTTGTATGAACACTCAAGTATAACAAAACATGGATTTATTGATAAAAGAGCTCCCAAAAATGGGAGTACTCTTACAATATTTTACATCTTCTCCCTTCTAAGGGAGATTTTACTCACGAGACATTAAATTGAAAATTTACAGGATAAAGAGTGTTTTTCTTGTAGTCGTTGTTGCGATGCCCTCTAATCAAAACATAACTCTCAATTTATAGATACATTGAGAGGGTCTGATAATTGCCTATTATGTCAGGCAAGACGTTTCTATCCACTCACGATTACATTATTGTGGATATCTGCAAAAGCTTTTTAATAATGTAGGAGGCATTATTTTCTTGAGTGGCGGGGAACATTTAACGCGTGAAACATCTTTCTTTTAAGATGATGAAGATTGGTCATCTTTAGAGAAAGGACCCTCCTTTGTCGTGGAATCACTATAATTGCAGTAGTTGCAATGATGGTCTTCAAACAACTGCTCCGCATGCCTACATAAAATTTGTTTTGTAGTGGTAGATGCATCAAAGTTGTTGTTCATGAACTGTTCTCCGAATTTGGATGCTCGTTCAACATCTTCGTTACTAGTGTTGCCATAGCTCCAGCTGGTGATTATACAGTGTGAATTTGTATAATTAAACTTTTTTCTTTGATCCTGAGATTATCTCAATGATCTTTTCAGAAATTCTTCTAAGGCTGTTGATACGATTTTGATGAAGGATTTCTTCGAACGGGAGATCTTTGTCTTCCGTGGGTCGAGATTGTTCGATGTCTTTTTTAGCTTTTGCTAAGCCAATTTCTAAATAGTGATAAGGGGCAAGTGTTGCTCCTTGAATCCATTCTGGAAGAGAGGAGATGACTCTGATATAAATTGGATCATCTCTTGCTTTGAGAACTTTCTTTCGGAAGTTCTTAATGGTTTCTATCATATTGGTTCGGAAGAACTTTAGTTCTTGCAAATTGCAGCTTGGATAGATGTTGTCTATTAATCCTGCCGAAAAGGCTTGTTGGATTAATCTTGGATCTGCTCCTTCTAGGAAGTTGTACAGACTTTTGGTTTTCTTATCAGTTGTGAAAAATCTTTCATGGATAAGAACTTCTGGGCATGCCGCTCTAGCTTTACTCCAGATTGTTCTGAAATTCAAAGGAGATTGCAGGGTTGTTGACTTCATATTCGACGTCATTTGGGATGTCAAATCTTTGGTCTCTGTGTTCTTCTTTAATCTTCCGGACTTTCGGCTTTAGAAGAGGTTTTTTGGTTTGATTGGCTTCGTCATTGAAGGTGGCAAAACTAAGTCGTGCACTTGTTTCATTTCTGAACTTCTTGCATGTTACTTTTTCGACCTTGCAGAAGGTCTCTGTAATTCCCCAGTCTGTATGTATTCCGGCGTGTGGCCCTTTGTAGATTACATAGAATCTTTCAGCTTCTTTGTTAAGATCCTTTTTGTAATCTGGTTTAAACTCCTGCACAGATTTGTTAGTAGGTGACAAAATTGTCATTTTACTGATTCCTTCAGTACAAGGGTCGAAATTAACCAACAAGCTAGTTTTTCCATCTGGAAGAGGAGTAGCTATCTCCTTTATTATGCTTTTAAGCAAAGCATCAGCTTTCAACGGATTTGTTGTTTCTTTACCAGGTGCCGTTTGCACTGGAATAGCCTTTGTTTCTAAGCTTTCGCTTTCTGGTACATCGGTGACCGCTGTTACTTGTTCCGTTTGCACTGGATTAGCCTTTGTTTCTAAGCTTTCGCTTTCCGGTACATCGGTGACCGTTGTTACTTGTTCATACAAGTTGAGTTTTTGTTCGATTGCTGATAGCTCTATGAGGAGCATTTGTTTCTTCCTCCTCAAGGATTTGAGGTCTTCCATTTTGTAATTTTTTAAACTCTTTTATCTCCCCCTCTCTTTTTTTTGTGAGTGAAGTTTGTAAGGAATATGGCGTGGGGATCATATCCTTATATAGGGCTCGAGAGGAGCAAGTGAGATCATGGATGATGTAAGACATACGTGAAGTCACGGGTGAGACAGTCTGCCAGCACATTTTTATCTCTTGCAAGATATTCTACAGTAAAAGTATATCGAGAGAACCACTCTTGCCAACGTATTAGTCGGCCTAATTTGATATATCCTGTGATTTTTGTTCGGAGTAAATAAGTAAAATTTTTATTATCTGTACGGACCAGGAATTTTACCGGTGTTAAATATACAGAGAATTTGGTAATAACTCTTTTTACAGCGAGTAATTCTTTTTCATTGCTATGATAGTTTTTCTCGGCTGCTTTGAAACTGCCAGAGGTGTACCTGCAAATTTGTTCTTCGTTTTTGGAATTTTTGGCCTTTAAAACTCCTCCCCAAAAATCATCAGAAGTATCAGTCTCAATAATTAAACTGTCTTCAATGTTCGGGAGATAAAGATTTGGAAAATTGATTAAAATTTTCTTTATCTTTTTGATGTAATCTGTATCAGTATTTGACCAATTCCAAATGACATCTTTTTTTAATTTTTCCTGTAAGGGCTTTCTCATGGCTGCAAGTTTTTCAATATATGTTTCAGCATAAGTTAAAACACCAAGAAATCTTTGCAGTTGCTTTTTGTCTTCTAAAAACATTTGGAAAATCATGTAAATGTTCAAGAATATGTTTTTGAGGACAATGAGTGCCTTCATTTATTTCTAAACCCAAAAAATTGATTTTTGTTTTGAAAAGATGAGCTTTCTTTTGTGAAAGTATTATTCCGTATTTTAAAATGGTTCTGAGAACCTGGGTAACATGAATATAGTGTTCTTGTTCATTTTTGCTGAAGACCATGATGTCATCAACGTATACAGTACAGAAACTTTCAAGACCTCGAAGGGCGTTCTGCATGTGTCTTTGAAAAATACTAGGAGCTTGTTTAAGCGCAAAGGATAGTACCTTCCATTGAAAGAGCCCATCAGGACATGTAAAAGCAGTGAGTAGCTGCGATTCTTTATCAAGTAGGACTTGCCAGAAACCAGATTTGTAGTCGAAACTTGAATAAATATTTTTTCCCCGTAGTAGAGTTAAGAGCTCATGCATATTAGGGAGATTATGGGAATCTCCAATGGTTGCATCATTGATTGCCTTGTAGTTGACAACCATGCGTTTCTTTCCTCTTCTTTTCTCTGCTTCTTTGTTAACTAGAAAAGCAGGGGACATATGAGGAGATTTTGATTCTTTGATTAATCTCATATCAAGTAATTCTTCATTCTAACTATTATTTCTAAGGAATTTTTGAACAATTCCATCAGTCTTGTGTTCTAAAAGTAGGAGAACATTTTTTGCATTTCCAAATTCATCTGGGTTTGTTTGTAAGATTAATGAAATCTCAGTAACCCATTTTTCTATAACTCTTTCTCTGAGTTTTAAGTCTTGGATACAATCAATATTGAGGACATTGATCGTATTGGGTCCTTTACCACTATTTGGAATACCATTGTGGATAGGCATTTTTGAACTCATACTTCTTTTTCTTCTTTCTCTCGCCTCTGTTTGTGGCCATATATGAAAATTCTGCTTCCATTTCTTCGTTGCTATCTGAGTATTCGAACTTGACAACGTTTATGTTAGGATTGTCTTCCTGTTCTGATTCGGTATCAGGTTCGTTTACTTTAGCTATTTTAAAGTATTGATCAAAAAGTTGTGGCTCTTTTTGATATAGTTCTTCGCATTCTTCAGTTTCCAAGGATAGAAGCTGAATGAGTTTTTGGTCAGGTTTATCATAGTCTTCATACTGAAGATTAAAGAAATATTTCTCGAGCTGCTCGGAGACTTTTTCTTTCATTGTTTCTCCTTTCTAAAGATATCAATCTTCTGGGAGTCTTTTGAGCTACCTAAGTCTCGGTTTCCAATACTAGGATTTGGGAGGTGAGTATTTCTTAAGACCTGAGTATTTTCCAGGTTTGGTTTTTTGCTCTACAATGGAAATATTCTTGATGTGTTCAAGAATGTCTTTATTACAAGGGCAAGAATCAATCTTTTCAGATAACTCTTTAGTAATGTCTGCAATAATTTTTGCAGATGCAACTTCTAACTGGTTAGTGGTTACGTATTTATTGACTGTTAAGTCAAGGTTTATGATCAGCCCATCTATTTTTTCTTCAAGGAGGTTGATCGATCTATTGAGCTCGGTTAAGCTCATCCTATCAGTTGTTTTAAGTGGTCTTGTATATTAGTGATCTTAAGGTTGGGTTCCTTAAGAGTGCCTTCAATATTTGCCCTTCAGGCAACTTCTTCCACAAACTAATTATTTTTTAAAGAGTTTTCTAAGAGGATAGAATGTTTATCAATAGATTGGGTTAATTTAATAGTCAACCTATTTTGTTTTTCGATTGTTTCGAATAATTTTTCAAAATCTTTTTTGTCAAAATCATTTTTAAGGAAAGCTAAATCACTTTTAAATTGGTTAAAAGGTATTTTATTTTTTGAAATATTTGTAGAAATATCTTTTGAAACACCAAGGTAATGGCTTATTTTTGAAGTCTTTAAAAGACATCTTGCAATGATCTGGTTGAGATTATTGCAATGATTTACAATTGTTTGAATACCAGCTTTTCCAGAAGTAGAGAAAACGTATTCTTTCTTTTGAGTATTGTCGTCAAGAGTTTTAATTTTGACTGTTTTACCTTTTTTATAAAAATGAGGAAAATATATTTTATTACTCATTTATAAATCTCAGTGATTTGTTTGATATTCTGACGTAGACTATCAATTTTTAAAGACATGTTTCTTATTAAGTTACTATCTTTTCTTTCTGAGCTTTCTCCAATGTTAAGTGAATCCATAGAAATTCTTGGTCTAAGATTTTCTCCTAGAGCTTTTTTGTTTCTGGCTATGTTTAAAACCCAAGAGTTTTCTTGAGGATTTATGTCGCAAAATTGCTTATCTTTGACATGGCCGATTTCTGAAAAGACGTCGTCAAGTTTGATATACTCGTCTTTCTTGTAGTCTATGCTATGGTGACTATTGGTCAGGGCATATCCTATGAGATAGGTTATTGTAAATGGTTTATCACCTGGACTCATAAGGTCACTTCTCTCAAAGTGATGTATGAAAGATAAGTTTTATCTATATTTGTAGATTTTAAATCCAGAGCAAACTATGGATAGACTGAAAACATAAACTTTTGGTAAGCAAGGTTTCCTTTGGCAGCACCTAAGATGCAGTCCTATCGGTCAGTGATTCTGTTGTCAATTAAGGCCATTTTTATGGGAGAATTTATTCCTGCTTGGAATTGGGATTTTATCAAAAAATTTACAGCCCCGATATGGACCATTCTTATTTTTGATCTAATCTCAACTGGAATACTTTTCAAGTTATTTTTTATTTGCTCCTTAGTTAAAAGGGGTAGAAAAACAGCTCCTATTGTGTCTTTTATGTCTACAGACATTTCTTTAGTACTAACAAAGTAGAAAATTTCATTTTTCCTTTTGAGAGGGTTTAAAATACTAAGTTTAGAAGGAACATTTTTGAAAATGTTTTCTTTCTTTATTTTTAAATCTGTTTTCTTAACTCGAGAGAGAAGGTCTTGTTTTATTAAGCGGTTTGCATGAAATCCGTCTTCATCCTCAACATAAGTTAAGATTTGTTTTTCTTCTGAATTATTTTCTTCTGAATTGTTAAAAATTTCTTTATTCATTTTAAGAAATGTTAACAAGTTAAAATCCTTTTTCTGAGTTCTGAAACTGAGTTTAAAGCTCTATCAAGGTGTTCTTGATGTATTTTTTGCCTGTGAAGGAGATACTTACGTATAATAACCATGGTTGGTATATATTCGTGAGTATGTTTATTTTGTGCTTGTAGAATTCTGAAATTTATATGCACTAAATCTTTCTTATTATTGAAAATTATTTCTTTATGATGAGAAATTTCAACCTTTTTCCTTTGAATTCCTTCAAACACTTCACTGTAAGTGTTTTATTATAATGTAATGCCATTTTTAACAAGGCTCTGATACCAGTTTGGGTGTGCGGGATTTTTTATATAATTTTTTGAAGAAGAAGGGAATAGATGCAAAAATTGTAAAGAGAAAACTCATTAATCAATAAGTGTTTTGGAGTAGGAGTATTACTTACATAGATAGAAACTATTCAAGCCAACCTGTGTCATCCTTTGGTATGTGTGGTTGCTTTCCCATTTGGCCTCATGCCTGCGGTACTGTTGACCATCGTCGACCTGACACTCTGTCACTTACAGGTTTCATGACTCTATTTTGTATGAACACTCAAGTATAACAAAACATGGATTTATTGATAAAAGAGCTCCCAAAATGGGAGTACTCTTACAATATATTACATCTTCTCCCTTCTAAGGGAGATTTTAGTCACGAGACATTAAATTGAAAATTTACAGGATAGAGAGTGTTTTTCTTGCAGTCGTTGTTGCGATCTATTCCCTGTCTTCAATAAATACTGCAACGAAAAAATTAAAACTCTTGACGACAATACTGAAAAGAAAGAATACGTTTTCTCTACTTCTGGAAAAGCTGTACTCAAACAATTGTAAATCATTGCAATAATCTCAACCAGATCATTGCAAGATGTCTTTTAAAGACTTCAAAAATAAGCCATTACCTTGGTGTTTCAAAAGATATTTCTACAAATATTTCAAAAAATAAAATATCTTTTAACCAATTTAAAAGTGATTTAGCTTTCCTTAAAAAATGATTTTAACAAAAAAGATTTTGAAAAATTATTCGAAACAATCGAAAAACAAAATAGGTTGACTATTAAATTAACCCAATCTATTAATAAACATTCTATCCTCCTAGAAAACTCTTTAAAAAATAATCAGTTTGTGGAAGAAGTTGCCAGAAGGGCAAATATTGAAGGCACTCTTAAGGAAACCAACCTTAAGATCACTAATATACAAGACCAGTTAAAACAACTGATAGGATGAGCTTAACCGAGCTATATAGATCGATCAACCTCCTTGAAGAAAAAATAGATGGGCTGATCATAAACCTTGACTTAACAGTCAATAAATACGTAACCACTAACCAGTTAGAAGTTGCATCTGCAAAAATTATTGCAGACATTACTAAAGAGTTATCTGAAAAGATTGATTCTTGCCCTTGTAATAAAGACATTCTTGAACACATCAAGAATATTTCCATTGTAGAGCAAAAAACCAAACCTGGAAAATACTCAGGTCTTAAGAAATACTCACCTCCCAATCCTAGTATTCGAAACCCAGACTTAGGTAGCTCAAAAGACTCCCAGAAGATAGATATCTTTAGAAAGGAGAAACAATGAAAGAAAAAGTCTTCGAGCAGCTCGAGAAATATTTCTTTAATCTTCAGTATGAAGACTATGATAAACCTGACCAAAAAACTCAATCAACTTCTATCCTTGTAAACTGAAGAATGCGAAGAACTATATCAAAAAGAGCCACAACTTTTTGATCAATACTTTAAAATAGCTAAAGTAAACGAACCTGATACCGAATCAGAACAGGAAGACAATCCTAACATAAACGCTGTCAAGTTCGAATACTCAGATAGCAACGAAGAAATGGAAGTAGAATCTTCATATATGGCCACAAACAGAGGCGAGAGAAAGAAGAAAAAGAAGTATGAGTTCAAAATGCCTGTCCACAATGGTATTCCAAATAGTGGTAAAGGACCCAATATGATCAATGTCCTCAATATTGATTGTATCCAAGACTTAAAACTCAGAGAAAGAGTTATAGAAAAATGGGTTACTGAGATTTCATTAATCTTACAAACAAACCCAGATGAATTTGGAAATGCAAAAAATGTTCTCCTACTTTTAGAACACAAGACTGATGGAATTGTGCAAAAATCCTTAGAAATAATAATTGGAATAAAGAATTACATGGATTAGATCTTTTTGATAATCTTATAAATGTCATTTACACTACCTTCTTAGGACTAGATTATGTCTCCAATAAAGACTTCACTATAAATAAGAAAGTCGACATAGCAAGAGTCTCAATGAAAAAACTCCAGTTACATGATATTTGTCTCCTTGACAAATACACATGTAGATATGAATCATATCTTTATGATATTCCATAGAGAAGTGAATATTCACAATGGATATCCGCTTATCTTATGAAAATACCAATCATTGGAGAAATCTGTACTGAAAGATGGAAAAAAGAAGCCATTGGAGAAATTCAGCAAACCAGTCTTTCTTATGCAACAAAAATTGCAAAAGAAGAAATTGACAGAATATGTCAAGACAGGTATAAACAACAAAAGCTTAAAACTATAAGCAAGGATTGTTGTAACATTTTGTCTGATTTCAAAGATTTTGATATCGGAAGAAAAACTTATACTAAAAAGAAGTATAAAGATAAAAACAAAAAGAAATACAAATCTTTTTGGAAGAAGAAAAAGAGAAGATTTTCTCCAGGAAAATACTTCAAAAAATCTTCGAAAGAAACACCTAAAAAGAATACTTCCTGCCCACAAGGAAAAAAAAATGTAGGTGTTGGATCTGCAACGAAGAAGGACACTACGCTAATGAATGTCCAAATAGGAAAAAGTACCCTGACAAGGTTAAGGTATTACAAGCTGCTAATAACGGAGGCTATGAAGCTCTTGAAGAAGAATACGACGGTACACAACGTGTTTTCATTTTACATGTTGATACTAATTCCTCGTCATCCTCAGATGAAGAAGAAACAACTACTGATGACTCATATTAGCCTTAAACAGACTCCACCTTTTAAGACGCGAGAGGTTAACCATTTTTGCGCAAACCTCCAGAAAAGTAATGATTTGATATTCTGACGTAGACTATTAATTTTTAAAGACATGTTTCTTATTAAGTTACTATCTTTTCTTTCTGAGCTTTCTCCTATGTGAAGTGAATCCATTGAAATTCTTGGTCTAAGAGTTTCTCCTAGAGCTTTTTTGTTTCTGGCTATGTTTAAAACCCAAGAGTTAACAGTCAATAGATCGATCAACCTCCGTGAAGAAAAATAGATGGGCTGATCATAAACCTTTACTTAACAGTCAATAAATACGTAACCACTAACCAGTTAGAAGTTGCATCTGCAAAAATTATTGCAGACATTACTAAAGAGTTATCTGAAAAGATTGATTCTTGCCCTTGTAATAAAGACATTCTTGAACACATCAAGTATATTTCCATTGTAGAGCAAAAAACCAAACCTGGAAAATACTCAGGTCTTAAGAAATAATCACCTCCCAATCCTAGTATTGGAAACCCAAACTTAGGTAGCTCAAAAGACTCCCAGAAGATTGATATCTTCAGAAAGGAGAAACAATGAAAGAAAAAGTCTCCGAGCAGCTCGAGAAATATTTCTTTAATCTTCAGTATGAAGACTATGATAAACCTGACCAAAAACTCATTCAGCAAGAAGTATGGAGTGCAACTCCTATGATTCAAAGAAGTGAAGATGGGATGCCCTGGAGACCTTAGGGATTTTTGAGCCAATTAGATCCTCTTGGGATTCAACTGGGGTCGAGTCTCCATTATCAGATGAAACAGACACACTTGATGTGTCTGAGTAGCTAGAGAGGTTTGAAGCGAGTCGGTCTGCGGGGACCACAAGGACTACGAGAGTCTTTTGAGAGACTAAGATATCTGTCCGGGCACGCATATGGCTAGGACTTGGGTTGGTCTTTCGTATTTTGTGTGCAAGAGCTGGACCGGAGTCATCATCAGACTCATCATCAATATTGACTGGAGGGCATTGAGAATGAGTAGGAGCTTCATCCGAGGACACAACAGTTTTGCGTTACTTTGAAGTTTCACCTTTCTTGGATTTGCTGCGGCCGGCTTTCTTTAATGACACGAGCTTCTTTTTTCCTTCTGGCAAGAGGTTGATTTGAGAGTGTAGTAGTAGGAACTGCGATACTCACTGGACCATGGGGTTCTTTAGAGGCTAGTATGTTCTGACTACGTACAGGGCGGGGTAGAAAGGTATGGGTCAATACCTTCTGTAGCCTCTATGTGATTTGTGACTTCTTTGGTTTCAAATCCAACAGATATCAAGACGTGTATAGGTAATCTTCGTAGAGGTCTAAAAATAGATTGGTCTTTTGAGAGTGTGTACCTTTTGAGATCGCAGGGGATGAAGAAATTGACGTCACTACCCATGCTAAGTCCGGCATCCTTGTGGAGGTCTGAGATGCACAGAGACCCGTAACGTGCGAAGGTGAGTTCAGTAGGGTCTGCTCGTGGATTTTCCTTCGGAATGTACTGAAGAAAGTCGTCCCATAAGATCTGCCCGTAGTTAACATCATTCCCTTTAAAGATGCTCCACACCAGTTCAAGTAGCTTGATACCCATGTTGTTTGTGCCTCCGGTTCTTACAGAGAAACTCCCGATGATGAAGTGACAGACAAATTGCCAGACCGCGGACAGTTGGTTTTTCTTAAATTCCCCAATGCCTTTGAGTTTCTTTTGATAACCCATCTGGTAGAGAGCAGAGGTGATATCATTCATGCTTAGTGTGTAAAATCGTGTTGAAGGAAGAACACGAAGATTTATTGCATTCAGGAACTTTTCTTTCATCAAGATGACCAAAGAATCATCAATCAAGTTCAGATGAACTTCTTGCAGGTTGTTGATTGGGAGAAACACATAGAATTCACATTTGAAAAGGGTTGAAAGTGGAACAACATCAGTGAATGAATCAAAAGCTCCAAACAGAGGGTGAGAAGATAAAAACTTGATCATCAGATGAATGGATTCGTTGTAGGATGGATGATCTTCAAATATTGCCCTAAAATTTCTCGAAGCAATTGTTTGCGATTGATTTCTTGTGGTGGATTCAGAACCAGTGGGTTGCAGTGATCCTGATGCTTTGGATTGCTTCTTCGATATACCAGACTTCACCATTTTTGAAAATATTTGAAGAACTTGCAGAAAACTATGAGTGCAAGAATATGAAGAAGATGAAGATCATCAAAGAGTTCAGAAAGCGTAAAGCTTTCTTGGGAGGGAAAAAGGGTTTATATAGTTCCAGATCTCAAAAGATTACTGAATTTACCCTATCTACAACTGTTAGTGGTAAAACCCTTGGGTTTTAACTATTATCAGCCACAAATAAAATAAATTAAACGAAATTGATTTTGATTTTTTAAGAAAATGGGGGCATTTAATGAAATGTCAGCCCACGTTGAGGATCATGTGGAGGGGGAGGGCTGAAAAACTGTTGGGTAATGGGGAAGTGGAAACAGATTAGACAGCTTGGGGAAGGTGATGTGATTGAGAAAAGGTAAAATATTTATTTTATGGGTAAAGCAAATTAAATGTCTTTTCACCTAAAATAGGTCTGACATGAAAAAGTGATCTTGAAAGAAAATGAAATGTTGTATGCTACAAAAAGAATATTTTGAGAATGTTTTTCTTATTTAATGAAGATCATTAAATAACACACAATGTTCCGGGGAATTTATGAAGTTGTTGACAAATCATTCAATGTGACTGCGGATTGACTCTTCATTGCTGATTGATTCTTCATTGTGGTGAATGGAAATGTGACTACGGTAGTAGGAACTGAGAAACACTTGACAAAAGAGTCATAAATAACAAACAATAAGGACCCAAAAATATAAGTATGATATATGGTTGCGGTATACGAGGTATACTGAAACCATGTATGATAGATATATTTATCTCGGACTGCAACGGAGACCAGAGGTGGTCTGCGGTACCTATCAATTTAAAAAGAATTGTGGGTCCAGATTCATCGTCCCTAACGTTTGTAGAAACTGTTGAGTTTTTTTGCATCAAGTGTCTTTGTAAACACATCTGCAGTCTCTTCGTGAGATAGGACAAAAATCAGTTCAATGTTACCTTTGAGTATGTGGTCCTTGATGAAATGGTACCGAACTTCAATGTGTTTCGTCTTTGAATGATGAATAGGATTGTGAGAAATTGCTATAGCACTCTCTGAATCACAATAAATCGGTATCGTAGAATTATGTATCCGTAGTCCATCAGTTGGGTTTTCATCCAAAGGACTTGAGAACAGCAGCTCGCTGCAGCCACGTACTCGGCTTCTGCGGTAGACAATGAAACACAATTTTGTTTCCGTGAAGACCAGCTAACCAGTCTTCCTCCAAGAAATTGACAACCACCTAAAGTGTTTTTCCTATGCAATCTACACCCGACATGATCCGCATCTGTAAAGGATTGAAGACTGAAGTCATTCCGTGCCGGATACCATAAGCCGAGCGTTGCTTCCTTTCAAGTATTTGAAGATCTGTTTGACTATAGTTAAGTGTGATACTTTGGGTCGGCTTGGTACCTGGCACATAAGTATGTTGCGAAGACAATATCAGGTCTTCTTGCGGTGAGGTACATCAAAGAACCAATCATTCCTCTATAAGATTTGTGGTCCACCGATTCTCCTGAAGGATCAGCAAAAATCTTATATCCGAAGGCCGTAGGAACCTTGGCTGAGGAACAATTATCCATCGCGTATTTCTTCAGCAGTTCAGAGGTATATTTTTCTTGATGAATGAATATCCCTTGAGGGACTTATTTTACTTGGAGTCCTAGAAAGAAGTTGATCTCTCTATTCATGCTCATTTAGAACTTGTTGGTCATGAACATTGCAAATTCATCCACCATACCTTCATCTGTTGACTCGAATATGATGTCATCCATATCGATTTCAACAAGCATAAGATGATTTCCATTTGCCTTTCGAAACAACGTGGGATCAATCACCCCTCTTTCGTATCCGAACATGACAAGAAACTCAGAGAGAGTCTCATACAATGCCCTCGGTGCTTGCTTAAGACCATAAACTGCTTTCTCAAGCTTAAAACAGTAATCTGGGAACTCTAGACTTTCAAAGCCTAGAGGTTGTTGCATGTAAACCTCTTCTTCAATTC